AATTGGGATGGGAGTGTCAGAGACAGTGCGATTGGCACAGGACAGAGCGGAGTTTAGGGCTGTTGTACATAGGGTCGCTATGAGTCGCAGGCGACTCGACAGCACGTAACAACAACAGCAGCATTGAGAGGACAGTCCTGAAATGTTTACCTCTAGCTCTGCCTTTGTTCGCCCTCCATGGCAATTTTTGGAGCAACTCCCAGGAAGATAGTCCAGGAGGAGCTCGGGCCTACCCACTGGGGGGAAATGCCTTTGCCTCACCTCTCATCCTGCACGGAAGGCCTGAGGGTGGTGCACAGGGCGTGGCCCTCCCACTGACCAGGCTCAGGAAGTTCTGCTCTCTGGCCCGGCCATGGACACTGGTGACCCTCTCCAAAGCAGAGGGCAGGGTAACCAGGCCGGGGACAGTGCTCTCAGGATGGAAATTTCTCCTGCTGTTACCTCACAGGAGGAGAACAGTTGTCCAACTAGGAAAGAAATAATCAGCAAACAGCTGGGGCATCCCACCTCCACCCAGAAAACACTTATGGACCACCTACCACAGGAAAGCCACTGGCAGTCCCTAATTCACACCTTTATTGTAGACTTTATTCTGTTACATATAGAAGAAAATTGAACCCAGAGAGGCATTGGCACTGGCACGGATCAGACCTGAGTTTAGTCCTGACTATGGGTTAATGCTGGAGGTCCTGGGCAAGCCATCTCCTCCCCCTTAGTTTCCTCATCTGTAAAATGGGGCTCACTCACTCAGTGGAAAGCCAGAATCTGAACTCAGGTCTCTGACCCTGACTCTGGGGCACATATCCTTAAATCCTGCCAAAGGCACCCAGTTGCAACAGATGATCAATACATGTCCCTGGTTGATTGGGTTGTACTTACAGAGCCTAGGCCTGGGATGTACTCATCTCAACCTCAGATTTCCCTTCAGATCTGAGCACACTTGATATATCTTAGCTCCTGGCCTGTTCTCCCATCTTCTCTCACTTCCTTCCCTCTCTCTTCACCTCAGCATCAGATGAGCAGCACAGAGCTGCCCCACTTAGATTCTAGAGTTTTGCAGAGCCAGCCAGGCCTCAAGGGTCTGTCCACACTCTGGACTCTGCCCATCAGCCCCCTCACACCAGGCCTTCTCCAGAATCTTCCCTGGGGTTCTCACCCGCCCTGCAAAGTATTCCTTCCTTCTTGGACCCCCCAGGGGTGGGGGTGTCCCATCATCCCACCCTGCTGCCAAGTTCCCACGGGCCTTCTCTCCTCCCCTGCTCACTCGTCTGGCAGCTCCTGACAGCATGGCCTTGTTTCCCAGGAACAATGCATCTATGTCAGAGACAATGTCCTTTCATCTCAGGCGCACTGGCCCCAGTGCACTCTGGGATGGGACACAAAGGGCGCTTTGTGCAGCTCAGGGATGTGAGCTCCTTGCTTTGCTGTGTCTGTGCCACTGACCCAGGCCTCTGTTCTTGGGCCCTGGTTATGCAACAGTATGGGCTGCAGGGCGGCCCAGGGGCTTTGCTGGCCCCTCCCCTCCCTCCACCACCTTGGCCATGTTAACCCTCTCAGTCACATCTACCAGCCCTATTGCCACTCTCCCTGAAGCCTCTATCACTCTCCTCTCCTCCCAGCTGGGCTTTGCCGACTTGAACCTTGCTGAGTTCGCAGGCTCAGGCTCCACGGTACGCTGCTGCCTGTTGGAGGGGTATGACACGAAGAACACTCGGCAGGACAACTCCATCCTCAAGGTACCAGGGGCCTCTGGCCTCCTCCAGCTCCTTCCCACGAAAGAGGGGAGGCGGCACAGAACCTGGTAGTGAGATTTTGGGAAGATGTGGGCCCAGGAGTCAGAAAGCCACCCTGAGAGACCTGAACTAACCAGCGGACTCAGCGTCCCCCTCCATAATTAGGGGTCAAGGTGGGATACAGACTGTTTCCCGTAAGGGTTAGGTGAGCACTTTGAGTGAGATAAGCCTTGTGCTGAGTACTTGCATATCTTATCTCATGATCCCCTGACTACAGCCTATGAGGTGTGGTGTCTGTTATTAGTCCTAGCTTTGCACAGGAGGGAACTGAGGTACAGAATTAAGTAATTTACCTGGGGTCACAAGTAGAACTGGGACAGATCCCCCAGCATATCACTCCATGGCCCAGCCCTACACAACCTCACTGAGACAGCCTGAGCTACTAGACTGGGGATATCTGAGAGTAGAAGAGTCCACCCACCCTAGATCTCTATGGACCGTGGGTGGCAGCTCCTGGGGACCAGATCCTGGCCCGCCCTGGCCAGCACGTGCAGTTTTCCAGGTTTCTGGTGACAGGGGAGCTCCCTGCCCCCAGGCAACCACCTCTTTGCCCTTCTGGAACCAGAGGTCTGATTTCCAGCACATCACTCTTCTTCTGTCTCCACACCCTTTCTAGCTCGCTGACAAAACAGACTTGTGCTGAGAATTCCCCTAGGTGCTGACCCATTGGGAGCATGGGGTGTGTGTGTACCCAGAGCAGGTCTGGGCATGGCAGTGAACAGGGATTCTGGACCTCCCAGACCTTTTCCAGAGTGAACCTGAGACCAGAGGTGCAGGCTGATCATGGTGGGAATTTAGGGCCTTTGAGCATCATCCTCAGTCCCCATGCACCCTTGTCAAGCCAGAACCAGGGGATCTGGAGGTCACATGGCCTTGAGTTCATTTCCTAACCCTACTTCCTACCTCCTTGGACAGTGGCTTCCCCACTATGCACCCAGTTCCATCTTCTACAGTCTGCGATAATCTCTGTAGGCCGTTCCCAGGGCCACATGAAAAGCCTCCATGCAGTCATCACCATTTTTGTCAGCATTGGCTCTAGGGTCAGAACATCTCTTTCCCTCCGTGCTACCCTCTGCCTATTGCTCAAGTTTTAGCTCAGACTTTAGGACCCAAATCTTGTCATTTGGGGGCCATTGCTTAAAATCTTCGGCCAGGCAAGTGTTAAATTTTCTGATGGCTTAATGCCTGGATTTTTATTCCATACACTTTGAGCCTCTGCCTATTGAATTGGGCTCTGTGGGTTCCCTCCATCTCAGAGAGCTTTCCTCCTGCCCTGCGATGCTTTATATGCCTGTCCACTGTGAATCTTGCAGGCTGGGCTCCAAGCCTTGAAAGACAACATGCCCTTGGTCTTACATGTGCCCTTGGGCTGAGGTTACCTCTGAGCTCAGTGACATCTTCTGTAAAATGAGATCAGCAATCCCATTCACATTTGCTTTGGGGATAAAACAAATGCATGCACCATTTCTACAATGTAGGAAGTACTTAATATGTATTTCCTGGTGCCCTCAAGGGATTCAGTTTTTTCATCAATTTAAACTAAAAAGTAGCTGGCTTTGGTCGCACATGATGCCAGGTGCTGAGCCAGGCAAATGCACTGTTTTCCACAGCAGACCCTAGGCTGACTTCTGTCCTCCAGATGAGGAAATGGGCTCAGAGGTTAAGTCACTCTGCCAGAATTCCCCAGCCAAGAAGGGGCAGAGACAGCATTAAACTCCAGCCCCTCTGAAGCCAGGAGACTGCACAGAGGCCAGGGCTACCGGGCTGGGCATGGGTGGAGGTGGAGATGCCTGTGGCTAATGCCTTCCTTGTCCCCATAGGTCACCATTGGTATGTTCCTTCTCTCTGGAGACCCTTGCTTCAAGACGTGAGTCCCACTGTGGGCCAGGGGAGGGGATAGCATCTCAGTCTTGAACACCGGGTTAGAGGGACAGAGACTCTTCCCTCCACTAGGCTCCCAGGTTCCTGTCTGTCTGGCCCTAAGGGGTCGGCGCCCACGTTATGCTCATCTGTCTTTGCAGGCCACCGTCCACTGCCAAGTCTATCTCCATCCCAGGCCAGGATTCTTCCCTGCAGCTGACGTGTAAGGGTGGTGGAACGAGCAGCAGCGGGGGCAGCAGCACCAGCTCGCTCACAGGGTCCAGGCCCCCCAAGGCCCGGCCTACCATCCTCAACTCAGGTACCATTTCCCATCTACCTGCTCCCCTGAGCCTGAAGATTTACCCCCAATACTGTCTCGAGCTCCTAGGGGAGACTTGCTAAAGTAAGGGAGGTGGTGGGATGGAGTCTCTAAGCACCCCTTGCATGCCAGGTGCTGTGCCTGGTCAGCCCCAGGATCCCAGCCGTGACCTGCGTCTGCCTTGATGATGTCCCTGCCCTTGTGGCCCTCCCGGTTCAAAACAAACTTAATGTCAAGTCAGAATCAACTCAGCTGCCTCCCGCCCCCAGTGGGTTTTCAGAGGCTGTGAATAGCATGGAAAGACAATGCCTACCTTTCTCCCTTGGAGCAGTAGGTGGATGCAAACCGCCTGCCTTGGGGTTGGCAGCACAACTCCTTACCAGCTAGGCCACCAGAGCTCTCACCTCCTAGTTTAGCTGGTGTTAAGTCATAAGTGACTCAAGTAAAAGGTCATTTAGATGTGTGACAAACTGTGAAAAGCAAATACAGAAGGCAAGAGAGACAGTGTGGGATTTGAGCTGATATGTGGGGTGCAGTGGTCCTGGCAGAGGGCTGTGGGTGAGTGCCTGTTGCTCCTCCTGTGTCTGTGGTGGGCCATTTTGCCTCTAGTCTCAGCAGCCTTCTCAAAAATGAGATCAGTAGGGAGCTCTGGTAGCCTAGTGACAAAAAGCTGTGCTATAATCTGGAAGTGCGCATTTCGAATCCACCAGACACTCCAGTAGTGAAGGAGGGGCAATCTCCTCCTGTGCAAGTTGCATCTGACTTGACAGTACACAAGAAAAAAAAATATTAGATCAATAAATAGTAACTATGGCCTAGGTTGCTTTGAGGATTAACTAAGTAAAAGCATGTAACATCTTGCATCATGATGGACACAGTCTGTGTTTCCTGGCACTATGTTTTTATGAAATGGTCACTATTAACTAATGTTGTTATGAAAAATAAGGGGAAGCCTGGATTCCCAGAGTAACCTGTGTGACAATTAGGAGAAAGAAGATCTGCCAGGAGATGGGGATGGGGTATCTGCTGGGCCTCTACAGTGTGTGTGAAGTGAGCTGCCCCCACCCAGTGTAGTCTCAGTCCTCTGACCATCCCATGTCCTCCTCAGGGGATGAGCTCAGAGCTGGGAGGTCAATTGGCCTCAATGTGATTAGTGAGCAGAGTTACACATAGCAGCCCTGTTTGTGCACAGAAGCAATTAAGCATTTGCCGATTAAGATTCTGGCATGGGGAACAGGAGTCAAGGTCATTTAAAGTTCTAGGCTCAAGGGCCCAGCTTTCCTCAACCTTTCCTGCAGACCCAGCTAGGAGAGGAGGACACATGGCTGTTTCAGAGCCATCTACCCCGGCCTGAGAGCAGAATGTGGGACTGGGGCTTTTCAGTATTAGTTTTATCCAACTTCAGAGAGGAGTCCCCAGAGGAGAGTTCTGGGGAGTGGCCACTCTGCACAAATAGTGCCACTTTGGGGGCAGGGTGGGTCTTGAACCCCAATTTGTCCCTGCAGCTGATGCCCCCAAGTCCTTAGTGCCTTTTGGGAAACTGAAAAGCCACATGGCTTTGAGGAGGGACACAAACAGACCTGGCGACCGTCCAAGATGCGAATGGGCTCATCCCTGTAGATGAAGTAGAGGAGTCTTTCCTTCCAGTCATGGTTTTGGACCCACCAGGCAAAGCTGGGATGAGTGGCTGATGGTAGCTCTTCTCTGGTGCTGTTTCCTTGTGCCTCCTGTTGAAGAGTCAACACTGCTCTGAAGCTAGATTCATGGTGACTTGGAACATGGCTGTGTAATCTAGTCAGGCCCTTCGAGGCCAGCCTACCCCCTTCTCCAGCTGTTCCCTCATTCTTCTTTGCTCTAATTCAGCTCTACCCTTCCAAGTTCATTCAAACCTCAAGGCCTTTTGCTTATGCTGTGCTTTCTTCCTGGAAGGTCTTTTCCTTGATGCCTTTCACCTTGCTCACTCCCTCCTCTTCACCCTGAGAAAGCGTTCCTGATGCCCCACCCCCACCCCACAGTATGTGCTCAGCTTGCAGAACCCCTGCTATGCGCCATTCACCCCAGTTGTGGTTGACCGGAGGTCTTTTTTTTTTTCTATAATTATATTTTATTAATTTTCATAAACATTTACAGAGATTTTGGGTTTCCATTCATTCATTGTTGCACTATTCTCTCTACCCTCCTCCCAGTTTGTTCTTGTCCAAATGCTACAGTGCTTGTCAAAGCCAGTTCTGATTAATCTTCTTTGTCAGTGTGTCCTTTGCCATTCCCTATCACTCCTCCCTGAGAGAGACTTCTCCCTGAGTCATAAGGAAAAGGGGATGGCGTATTCTCTTAGCTACTTCCTGCTGAAAAGGGACGCTGTGGGTTTCAGGGTGAAGATCTTCTCTCACTACTCTAAAGGGCCCCTTTGGCAGTAGGAAACACATAGACTATTATGGAGATTGATTTTGGAATTTAGATGCACTCTTATTGATTGTGCTTGGCCGTACATGTTCATATCCTTGAAGATGTATCATGGGGGTGTTGCAACCTAGAAGACACAAATTTGACTAACAAGTTATAAGTACATGAGTCCAAAAATTGTGGAAAAGTAAAAGAAAAGATTCTTTCATTGTTTTACAAACCCTCCCCCAGGTCCCCTCCACCATGTAGCCCTCGCTCTAGTCTCCTGTGATGACAGAAATACCTAGTTATATCTCTCTTTTAAACAGTTTTCTCCCTCCTCTGTTTCAGTGCAGTATACATTATTGAACCCATCTTACTCAGTCTCTCCCCAACCCCAAGGACAGTCCCATTCTACAACAGTGGCATCATGTACTATTTGTCCTTTTGTGACTGGGATATTTCACTCAGCATAATGTTCTCCAGAGTCAACCATTTTGAATAATATTGCATGAGTTCCTTGTTTTTTAATGCAGCATAGTATTCCATTGTGCGAATATACCACAGCTTCTCTAGCCATTCGTTTGTTGATGGGCACTTAGGTTGTTTCCAACTCCTTGCTATTGTGAACAAAGCTGCAATAAACATGGGTGTGCATATATCTGCTTGGATGTCAGCTATGGTCTCTTCAGGGTATATTCCCAGTAGTGGAATTGCTGGGTCAAATGGTATCTCTATTTGCAACTTTTTGAGAAAGCACCATACTGCTTTCCACAGGGGTTGCACCATTTTACACTCCCACGGAGGTCTTTTTTTTGGCCACTGTTTCTCCTCTCTGTGCTCGCTCAGTCAGGCAGCTTTGTCTACTGTTAATAGCACACAGTAGAACACCTACTTGGAGGAGCTCCCCAACACATATAGCAGGTACACATGTAGCAGGGATAAAAATAGGAATCTGTTTTTCAGAAATGGAAATATACATGGCTCCCCCAGCCACTGACTATAAGAGGCTCAGTGAGAGGGCCTAAATGAAGAAGGGCAGGGGAGTGACCACCGCATAACCCCTGCCTCCTCATGCCCCTTACTGCCTTCCAGGGGTGCCAGAGGAGCCGGACCAGAACCTGTCCAGCCCTGAGGAGGTCTTCCACTCCGGCCATTCCCGCAACTCCAGCTATGCCAGCCAACAGTCCAAGATCTCTGGTGAGTGCCAGCCTGGCTCCACACCAACAGCTGTCCACAATCCTGGGAGCAACCCCCTATAATGAACTGTCCCCCTTGACCGCCCACCAGGCTACAGCACAGAGCACTCCCGGTCCTCCAGCCTCTCAGACTTGACGCATCGCCGAAACACGTCCACGAGCAGCAGTGCCTCTGGAGGCCTCAGCCTGACGGTGGAGGGTCCTGAGGGCAGCGAGAGGGAGCACCGGCCTCCTGAGAAGCCCCCACGACCGCCCCGGCCCCCACATCTGTCAGACCGCTCATTCCGGTGAGTCCCACTGCTCAGTGCTTCCTGGAGAGGATAATCCCCTGCTGAGGCCTGCCAGAACCGCAGCCCCATCTACCTACCAGACAGGCCTGATGCATGGGCTGGGGAGTCCTGGGGAGCTTGACTGGGCACCTCCCCTCTAAGGACAGCAGAGGGCAGGAGAACTTGGCTCCTGATGACTCTGAATCTCAGCTGCTTCTTCTGTCACGTGGGGATGGTCATGTCACAACCATTTTATGTTCATAAAGGGCCTAACTCCCTGCCTGGAGCATAGTAGGTACTCAGTTAGTAGTGGTTTTTGGCTGTTGAATGCAGTGATCAGGAGGGTGATTTCCTCCTATTCCCTTTCAAGGAGGGAGGCCCAACCCTTTGGGATATAACTTTCTAGCAAATCTGTTTTTACTATTTTACCCTCAAGAAAATAGTGTGATGTCAGACCAGACAGTGTTGGTTAACTCAACCACCTACACACAGTGTGTGCTTGGGCGGGATGCTTGCCTCCTTCACCACCACGTCCTCCCACATCTATAAAGTTCCCTGTGACGTCCTAGGGTCGCTGTGAGGGTTAAATGAATAAAAGATGGTACATGCTTAGAACACTTATAGCTCTTATAGAGCTGTAGATGCTCCCAGCTTTGATGTTGTTCCTGTTGTTGCTCTTAATGTTTTGCCTGTGTTCTGTCCCAACCCAGGCGGAAAAAGGACTCGGTGGAGAGCCATCCGACCTGGGTGGATGACACTCGGATTGATGCGGACGACATCGTGGAGAAGATCATGCAGAGTCAGGATTTCACAGATGGCAGCAACACTGAGGGTGAGCTCTTACTAAGCTCTGGGTGGGCTCAGGGCCAGGAGTGGTGCTGCTTGCTGTGGGGACTTCCCAGCTGTTCCTGCCTACACTCAGTTTCTCTTCGTCTGCATCTCCCCACAGACAGCAACCTGCGGCTGTTTGTGAGCCGAGATGGCTCCACCACGCTGAGTGGCATCCAGCTGGCCAACAGGTAAGGGTGAAAGGTGAGGGACAAGGGTCATGAGTGTGGCCTCAGGGCATGGTATGAAGGTAAAGTCTCTGTGGACCAACTGACTGGGCTTGAATGCCAACTTTGTGAGCACAGGGTAACTTTGGGAAAGTCCCTCTCTTCGAGCCTCAGCTTTCCAGTTTGTCAAATGGTGGGGCTATTCACATCTCACCTGCACCCTGGGGCAGAAAGAACACCAATGCCTTAGGGCTGGCTGGAAGGTCCAAAGTACTTAGCGACAGCCACAGTAGAGGCTGGATACATCTTTATTTTGGATTCTGTTTTCCTTCTCTTTACTTATGGATGTAGGAAGTCCTCCATCAAAATCATGATGTTCATGTATTTACTGGACACCAGCTATGTACTGGGCCTTGTGCTGGGACACAATAATGGGCAGCCTAGATCTCTGCACTCAAATGCTCCAGAAGGAGTGAGAGGCCCACTTTTCTTTCAGTTCAGTTGTGTAGAGTGTCCTCTCATTAATGTCTTTTCGTTTAGAGCATGGTTATTGTGTCTACCTCACTAGAAATGGAACTCTGGTGTTGTGCTTCTAACCGATAGGTCTCACACCTTTCTGGCAGTTCAAATCCAGCAGCTTCTCTGAGGGAGGAAGATAAGCAGTCCTTTCGCATGCAGTTTACAGCCTCAGAAACCCACCTGGAGGGTCAGCCATGAGCCAGGTTTTACACAATGACAGACAGTGAGGCTGAAGTACTTCACTAGGCCTTTGATTCACCAAATAAATAAATGAGTATGCAAGTGGTTGAGCTAGAAAAGAGCACAAGAGCACCCCACTTGCAAAATTATACCAAAAACTTAGATGCACCTGTGTTTCACTGGCCACAGGAGCCTAGGCTCTGGGGTCTGCCCTTAGCTGCAGTTCTGCTGACCCCTACTGGCTAAGGTGCAAAATTGCATTCCCATTTCCTCAGTGGACTGGAAAATAAGAAAACAGAACATTTTTTTGAGATTTATGCAAACCTGCTCTAAGAATGAAGAAACTGGAGTTCAGGAGAGGGAAGAAGACACTGTGGTAGACAGTAAGCTACATACTGAGTTCCAAGTATCCCTAACCCTGTGAATGGTTCTGGCCTCAGTTAGGAAAGAGTTGTGTGTCCCCCATTCTACCTGCCCCCTCACACCTTCCTCTTGGGAAACTCAACCTCTCTGAGTCTCAGTTTGTTATCTGTCAAATAAGAGAGAGAATATTTCCTACCTGACAAGGTACCTATGAGAATAGGGGTTTTGTACTGAGGATTAGAACTCAGGGACAGAACCTGGGCCAGCTCTGTGGTCCCAAACACAACCTCACAGCTAGGATTGACTTGGATACTTAAGATCTATGTCACCTTGAGCAAGTGACTTAACATTTCTGAGCCTTAGTTTTTTTCCTCCAAATGAGACTGATTTGCACTGCCTGCTTTTCATATGCCTTCATGGACTGGCCTGGAAGAGGACTGGACACCTGGAGCAGTGAGGAGGTGGAACTGACCTGTCTCTCCCCAACAGGGTCTCCTCTGGGGTTTATGAGCCAGTCGTGATTGAAAGCCATTGAGGACCAGGTGTCAGGCTGGAGAAGGCCTTTGCCTTCTTGGGCATCCAGACTTCTCATTCCACGAGGGACATTCCCCTGGAGATCTTCATCTGAGCTGCATCTCATCTGTGCCTCTTCTGTGCATTCAAATACCGTATGTCCCCAAAGCATCATTCCATTGCCCTCCCCTCCATGCTGGATCCCTTCTGGCCCACTCGGGCCCAGGCACCACTGTGAATATTCTCTTCTGAACCACTAGAGGGCAGGACAAGCTGGCCCATCCGCAGGTGGCCCAGACAAAGAACAGAAGAGCAGGACTGCATGCCCTGGAGACTGACTGGGCCCCTCCGCGGGCATGGACAGCAGCTCCTCTTCACGGCAGGGCTGCTTGGGGCTGTGGGCCTCTTCCTGCATCTCCACTTAATCCAGAAGCACTGGCTGCAGCTCCCATGACAGGACCTAGCTCCATTGCCCCCTTGCCCTTGTCTGGGGACCAGTCCATCTCCAGAATTGTGTCACCGTGCCCCTCGGACTGCTTAGTGCTTCGGCTGTCCCTTCCTTGTATCCTAGGGGACCCGCTGGCAGCCAACTCCTGGGAGCCAAGACCTCAGATCCCACCCACACTCCAGATTTGGGACTTCTCCACTCCTCCCTATCGAATGTTCTCCTGCTGCCCCGGCAGCCTGCATTTTGCACATGCTTAACCCCCGCACAGCCCCACTGACCCTCACCCCTTCCCAAGGATCCCTGGGCTCTGCCTGCTGTGCAGTCAGAGGCCCAGGCCTAGAGGCCCGGCTGGAACGTGGCACTACCTCTCTTCCCTCCAGCTAGCCCCAGCTCAGGCCTGGGACCTATGCCAAGAAAAGTCTGAAAGTTGAAGGGTGTTCCGCTCTGCCAGGGCTGGGTCCTGAGCAGGTGGGTTTCATGTAGGAAGGCCTGGGATGTGGGGCCCTGGCCAGGCTGGGCTTGCCAAGCAGAGCCCTTTTCTGGCCCAGGGTCAGCTCGCCCAGTCTGGGCTAGAGCTGGAGAGGCAGGTAGGCCATGACTGGACTGGCCTGGAGCTGGGTTCTTGGCCAGAAAAGTACCTGGTCTCTCTCTGAAAGCACCCCCACTTCTGGGCAAGGCACAGGTGGAGTCCTGTGAGAAACTTATTTCTCCAATGGGGAGCAATCTGACCCTGCCCCCTGCCCCTCACTAAATCTTCTGCTCTTAGCACTTTCCCCTTTTCTCCTGTTACTTGCTTAAAGGTAGATTCTGGCTGCCAGCCAGTCCTGGAACTCCCCCGCTCCTCACCTCACCTTTCAGTTTCATTCATTTTGTATAAACCCAGCAGGCTGGATTTAGTTCTGTAACTTTTCTTTTTTTCATTTTGAATTCATAGTTGGGTATTCTCTCTTCCCCCAGGTAAGGGGTGGGAGGTTCTATTCTCTGCTCTGCCTGCTGGCTGGGTCCCAGCAGGGCGGGGCAGTTAAATGGGAGGGGGCACAAGATGGCTGGTTCTCTGGTATGGGTGGATCTTCCCCAGGTTGGGAGGGTTCCTTGCCCAATTTTCCATCAGCCCCTACTAGCAAGAGTTGAGGTTGTTGGTCCTGGAATCCTACTGATACTGGGACCAGAGTATTTGTAGGTTAGGCTTTGTTTTTACTTTTTTTTTTAAAATCATCTAAATATTTGTAGAAAGTGAATGTTAGAAGGTGCCTGCTAAGGCAGGATGGAGCTCTGATCAGCTCTGAGGGTCCCTTCCTGTCCCACAGATGTCTGTCGCTTTAAAAGGAAGCTAGTGGCACTGTCTCCAAATGGGGTAACTCCTCAGAAGGTCTGCATGACCCTAGCCAGTGGAAGGGGTAGTGATGAATTCAGGGTGTTTCTTCATGTCTGGTTCAAAGCTTTGGGGCTTCAGGCACAGAATTGCTGGCTTTGGCACTGTTGGGGAGACTCCTCAAAGAACAGGAATCTCAACCCTACCCAAGGCAGGGTCTGAACTCAACATTTATCCCAAGAGACAGAGCCAACCACACTCTACCAGTGCCAGCCCAGGCAGAAGGATTGGATGAGCTGAAAATCTGGCCACAACCAAATGAATGCTGGAGCCAGAGACCAGGGGCCCCAGCCTGGTCCCTGTATGGAACCCTTTCTTTAGTCCCCTGGCCCCTGCAAGCTCAGTGAATCCCACCAGGGGCTTGCAGCTCCTGGACTCCAGATTCTATATATAGAGATAGAGAGATATATTAGAGATATTTTTGGAAAGGAATTGGTCTATGCAATGTCAGTTTGGAATCTTCTTGAAAGATAGTTTTAACATTTTTTTATGAGGAGATTTAAAGAAAATAAAAGTCTACAATATTTTTAGAGTGGGTTTGTTTTGGGTTTTGGGGTTTTTTTCTTTTCTGGTCACCCCACAAGCTGACAACATAGTGTGATCTGCCGGGAATGGAAAATGTCCTTGTGTCCTCCTGTAAGGGAGGTGCGTGGTGAGATGGAGTGGGGATTTTTTTTTTCTCCCATTCCTCTCCTTTCTAACAGAATGTTGCCACCACCACCACCCCCAAATTCAGCGGACTGTGTTTGTATCTCTGTCCCAGCTTCTATTGTAGAAAATAACATTGTAAGGGGAAATCAGTCTAGTGTCAGTGTCTTGGGGGGAAAAATAAATGTTGCTGTTTTTGTTTTGGTGTAGCATGTTGTTTTATCTTGGTACCTGACCACTTTGACTTTGATTAAACAGCATGGAAGGAAAGCCAGATGGAAGAATAAGGTAACGTTCTGAAGGTAGGGAAGATGTCACTGGTCAGGGTTGTTTACATTTTAACTAAAATTATAATTATCACTACCTTTAGTATTCCACTTATGATTGTAGCCAAGATGTGGCATTTTGAGTGAGGCATCAGCCCCAGAAAGGCTCTCTTGATAATCACCCACAGCTGCTAACAGTAGGTCCTGTATTCAAACCCGTCTCTGGTTTCAGAGCCCGAGTCCCAGCCACTGCATTGTGGCCCTCCCTAGCACTCTAGTGGCCAATAACTCGATTTTCTCAGCTGTGCATCATATGAGAAAGAATGAGCCTGACTTGTGGGACATGCTGCGCATTTACCCAGCCTCTCTAACCTCGGGCTGAAGTTGTGTCCACTTGAGGCTAGGACCCCTCTTCCTCATTTCTTTGACTTCAAAGACACAAAGCTAAAAACTTCCTTGAAAATGAAAGTGAAAACATAGCATACCAAGATCTTTAGGACACAAAATAAGTACTCAATTTATAGCAAAAAGTATGCATCAAGAAGCCTAAATAACACCATAACCCAACATCTTGTACAATTAGAATGGAGCAGTAAGCAAAGCCTATAGTCTCCAGAAGGGAAACAATACATATAAGAGCAGAAAGAAATGAAATAGAAAGCAGAGAGACTATGAAAATTAATAGAAGTTGGTTCATTGAAAGGATTAATAAAGTTGACAAACTCCTGGCAGATCTAACAAAGGAAAGACAAAGACATAAATAACACAAATAAGGATATAAATGGATGATATCACAACAAAACCAACTGAAAGAAAAAGGATAACAGTCCTGTGAAGACTGTGACAGTTGGCTCAAGTGCATCAGATGGTGGGATGGCACAGGACAGGATAGGGTTCAGAGCCATTCATAGGGTCACAGTGAGTCATGCCCAAAAGCACCTAGCAAAAATAGGAACATGAGCAACAAACTCAAAAAGTCTATAGAGGAAATGGAAACAAAAAAAAGCCTATAGAGGAAGTGGGCAATTTTTTAGAAACTCACTGCCTGTCTAACAAAATTTGAAGAGACTCATCACAAAAGAAGAATTCAATCAGGCCATAAAACAGCCAAAATGGGAAGGTATGAGAGCAGTACAGGGAGAACAGAAACAGTGGACAATGAACACTAATGGAATAGAGGAAGGGAAGATCTACCCGGAATGAATGGGCAAATAAATAATGTGTATAGTGGTTAACAACTCAGAACAGGACATGCATAACTCATCGAATGCAGAAGGGGAGGGGGATAAAGTGGGGGGAACCCCATGTCAGCAGAGATTAGTGTTGAAAGTCGAACATTCAGAGAAGAGCTGAGACCAGTTCTACTCAAAACTCTACAAATAACAGAAAAACATGGAATACTCCCAAGCACATTCTGTGAAACAAGTATAACCCTGATAGCAAAGCCAGGCAAAGACACCACTCAAAAAGGAAATCAGACGAAAAAAAAAAAAAAGGAAATCAGACGAACATCCCTCATGAACATAAAATGCAAAAATCGTCAACAAAATCCTAGCCAATAGTATCTAAGATGATATTAAAATAAACGTCAAGTGAGAGTCAAACTAGGTTTGCAAGGATGGTTCAACATTAGAAAAACAATCAGTGTAATCTACCACATCAATTAAAACCAAGGAGAAGAATATCGGCATCTCAATTGTTGCAGAAAAGGCATCTGACAAAACACCTTTTCCTTATAACAAAATAGGAATAGAAGGAAAATTATTCAAATGGAAAGGATGGATCTGGTGTGAAATGTATTCTAATTTTGTAAATACTATAAAAATAATGTAAAATAGAATGTATCTGAATGTATGAAACACAATGTAAATGAAAGATTGTATAAAGCAATGTATATGAATGAAACATACTGTCAAGATATATGACAATAAAATATTTTTTAAAAGCATATATACAAAACCAATGGTCAACATTAGTGGAAAGAGAGTAAAGACAATCTCTTGTGAACAGGGACCAGAAAAGGGTGCCCTTTATCACCATTCTTATTCAATATTGCATTGGAAGTCCTAGCCAGAACAATCAAGCAAGAAAAGGAAATAAAGAACATCCAAATTGGCAAAGACAAAGTAAAACTGTTTGTAGATTATTGTTGCTGTTATGAGTCTTTGAGTTGCCTGTGACTCATAGTGAATCAATCCTATGTATAAAAAATCCCAAAGATTGCAGGAAAATTACTGGATCTAATTGGCCCAACTCCTGAAGAGCAATGATGTCACTTTAAGGTGTGC